TGCTGTGATGTTGCTGCAATGCAAATCACTCACCATCTAAAGAACAGTTGTAGCAAAAACTATAGCTGATTTTGAACTTCTCAAGGTAAAAAACTGCCCAAGCAAAGCAAAGAAAGTGAATGTATTGAGACAACAAATTAAAAAGGGGAAGAGCACAGAGAAGGAAAACAAAGGACATCTAAAATATTTTAAAAGCACCTTCTAATGTTTCCCTCCATATATACACTAATTTCTTTAAATTTTACCATTTTCTTCACAGTATCTCCTGTAATTTACCTTATAGACTTGAATTTTTAGGACTGAACTGTAAATTCCTAATAAAAGGAATTCTTTAATGTCTTAATATGTATGTTTTTTACTTGGTTGGTTGGTTTTGGTTTAGTTCCAGCAAGGAAAGAATACAGAGCAGAAGCTGATGGGAGGAATAAATGCTGACTAAACAAACTGTTCAATCTGAACTCACTTCATTGGCAGAAGATAAGCGTGGTACAAGCAGAACCAAAAATGGTGCCAGAAATGTGCTCTCTGGGGAAGCACAAAATCCACTTCTGTTCTCAGTTCTGCTGCTGTAAATCCACAGTAACTCCAAGCATGTGATCGGAGCTGTTCTGGATGTACAACAGTGTAACGTGGGCACAGGTGGCTCATGTTGACCTGCTACAGGGGCATATTTTAGCCGTGTGTGCATTCTGAGAGGAAGGCTCTTTCTTCCTTTGCACGGGAGAAAAAAAAAAAAGATCAACAAGAGCGAACACCTTATTCATAATCTAGAAACGCAGCACACTTCTCACAGCAGAGACAGATCTTCTCTAGAAGAGCAAAGCAAATTTTTCAAAGTTTTCAATGACATAATGTTATACATATTAACTTTTTTTTGAGAAACTAAATATTTCTATTTTAACTGCTACAAAAAACTGACGACCACGCACAGAGCTATTTCAGTAACAAGATGAGTATAGGAGACTACAAAAAGTAATCTGTTTACAGGGCTTATAATTCATATATGAAAGTTACATATTCATAAGTGTTCCAGATCATGTGCTTGAGAGATGTTATAAACACAAACAACTATTGAGTTAGCCCTAATAAAAAATTTAGATTTTAATTATGAAGCCCATGTAGGACTGTACTGATGCTGGCAATGAAAAGGCAGATAATAAAATCTGTGTTATGTAATTGTTCACCCAAAACAGACATAAAACCTGAGCAATAAAAAAGCAAGAGTTTCTGGCATTCTGTATACAGCAACACTTGTGTACTTACACCACCTTTTCCTTCTGAACTCCCTCAGTCAGATTACTCTGCAGCCCTAGCAACCCATTTGTACTCAGCTGGCTGTCCACCATGATTATCTGTACCACATTCTGACCTTAAACTGCCATCCTGGAAAATACCTTCCTCACCAACCCAAAGTGTCACTTTCTATAATCAGCATTCTGGGAGCCAACAGTACAGCCATTAAGGCACTGAGAAAGACACATGTCCTCCTTTAGTTCAGTGTATATCAACTGATCAGTCAGATGACCATTAAAGCAGTGAAGTCTTTATTGAGATGGTCAACTTGTCTGCCTCAATCCATAACTTGTCTCCAGTGGGTTTTCCTTAAAGAGATGGATAATAATGCTCTTTCATGTTACATTACTCTCTATGGAATGTGGTGCTTCCAAACCTCCCTTCCTACTCTGAGGACAGCCTGCCACAAGAAAAGACTGATTCTGAATAGAACAGTCTCAAAATCAGCTTGTCATTCAGCAGCAACAGCTTTTGCTGAGGACACACGACTTCACAGTAAGGACATTGCCTACCGCAACTTCCCCCCCCCACAGAGGACACAGAATAGCATGAGAATGTTGGATTTAATTTCCAAAATTTTAATACTTTAATCTATTAAATCTTATCACCATCATATTTTTCCAATTTAGGTGGCCAGCTAACTGATTTAATATGCTGAAGAAATACTAAAACTGCTAGTACAAAACTTTATCTAAAATTGCTATATAACACAAATCAAAGAGCTTGGTGCTAGAGTGATGCTGAGAACCATATAACATCCTCAAATTTCATTCATGTGAATCACCCCCTCAACAAAACAAAGCCACCAGACTGCTCCCTAATTCCTCGTTTCTGCTAAATGTGTCAAAATTCATTAGGATTTCATGTATAGAGTCAAGCAGACTACTAAATACTTCTAATGAAAACATGTATTTTCAGGATCATTTTGCGCAGATAAAATAGTCTGTTCCAACAAACAAAGACTCTCTCTAGTTAAAACTGAAAAAAAAAATCAAGAGCAGATGGAAAAAATTTCTTTTATTTGTGTAAACTAAACTTTTAACTACCATGCAAATCAAAGCCATTAAGATCTCAGGAGACATCTTCTGAGGACCATGACCTCTACACAGCACAGAAGGGATTCAGCAGCCATATCTGTCCTTTCCCATGACAAATGGCTATTTTATCTGTCTCCAGCTATATTAAAAGGGATGTGTACCTTCAGATGGCAGAGTGTTAAGAGCATTGCAGTGTGTGGGGTTTTGGGATTTTCTTCTGAGAGCTCTTTCTTAAAAAATTTACTTCTCTGTGGGATACAGATCTACCAGTTTTTGGTGGACTAATTAGTAACTGGAATCCAGAGCCAGAGCTGTTCATTTCACAAAATACCTACATAGTTCCCTGAAAGGAAAACCTGAGTCAAAACACTCAAAACTGCCTGTGCAACTAGCATGAATGACATAAGTATCTAATTCCCAAAGCAAAAATATATCCCTTTTAGTGGTTTTGAAACAAAGATAACAATCCAGTTAAATGTGAAGAACATAATCTTAGACTGGACTCCACTAACAGAAGGTAATTTTGCTAGAGACATACGAATCTAATACTCAAGTATACATTTAACTTGCTTTTAGTTGTGTTTTGTCTCAATTTTACGGGAGTCAGTGGCTATCGAGCTTACTGTCCAAACCATTACAATCACTTCAAGGACAGAAACTACAAAATAAAATGTGGAAAATCCATTGCTAGTTTAGCAGAGAGTTTAAGAAAATTCAGCCTTGTTTGCAACCCTGAATTCAGTGTACCTGACAAAACAAATCAGCTTCTTCCAAGGATCACAGTGATGCAGAAATGCCTCAGTTTCTAAAGAGAAATAAATAAACTCACAAAATCAAAACTTTGTGATAGCGTTGTAGTCACTCTTCCTGCCTGGAAAATGGGTGAGACAGTCTTTGTTTCTTTTACTTTTAGTATTACTTATACACTATACATTCGCGTCCTGACATCTTTATACTAACAAATAAGTATGTTTTACAAATGTTTATCACACAGTAGTTAGTATTTTTCAGTAATTTTCACTGAGAGGCACAAGTGTTATATGCTTATTTTGAACGTGCATCTATTAAAAAGTTAGTAACACAATGATTATTTAATGCTACTTTTTAGTAATAATAGTATTACAGATTATTAACCAGTGATACATAAAACAGTGACAGTAATGGATGCTGAAGTTATTCAGATCCACTTCACAAGTGACAATTTGAGAAATGCCTTAGTAGACACTCAGGAATTCCTGAGCAGTAATTCTGTGGAAAGAAAACTGGTGGCAACAGGGGTGAAGAATGTGAGACAAAAAGGAGAGGCTTTGCAGAAGTCAGTTACGTCTGAAACGAGAACATGCTTATTAAAATACAACTACTATGGATTAAGTCAGTATCTAGGGATGCTCTGTCTGCTACCACTATGGGGAATATTTTGAAACTATAATATGTCACTGTTAACATGGTATTTTCAGAACATTCTTAAATGATTAGTCTTGCCATAACATGAGGAAACAACATTGACACAAACCATCTACTGTAACAAACTACATTCCACAATTTTGGCAATTTTAACTATAAAAACTACAATGTCACCATAATTTCTACACTCAGTTTATAAGATCAGCTATCTTTCTTTGTAACAAATTAAGAAGTAATGCAAGGAATAACTTCCAAAAGTAATATAACCATAACAGTTAGTGTGCAATTTAACTGCTGATTTACATCTGCTAGCTGTCACAAACAACTCCCCTAAACTGCTTCTAAAGTGGGCAGACAAGGAAAGAAAGAGAAAAACAACATGCTCAACAACCAGCAGCAGAAATGCCTTAACTGTGTTGAAGACTTAAGTAAGGAGAAATTCATTCGAGGATAAAAAAACTGTCCCAGGCATTAAATCTTTCAGAAAGAATCATCCTAATTGTCTCCTTAGAGTTAACCTATTTTATATTCCCAAGTAATCCTATCCAATCAGAAGCTCATTTGTTTCTTGTTAAAGCTATGTTTGAGAAATTCAGTTTCAGACTATAAGCACTGATAGCCATTTATTTTGCATTTACGCTGAAGTCTGTGGGATGGAGAGGCTGGAAAAGTAGCCGAAATGAGTGAAAAGTCTGCCTCTCAAATGCACTTTCTGATTTTTAGTGGAAGAAAAAATAGCTATATTACTGCAATTATTCTGCCTATCTCCATTTTTTGATCTTGCCAACTCCCCAACAATATTTTGCATGTCCTTTCTATGGGGGGAACAATAAAACTAAAATTAAAAAAAACCCAAACATTTTCCACTGGCATTTTACATCGCTATTTTTTTTTACTTCATCCTCAACCAATTTAACTTACAAACAAAACAAGTGAAAGCTGATATCAATGCAGAATATCAACAACTACTCCTAAAGATATTTGCAAACATAACTAAGTTGTAACAAAACACTATAATCAAATCACAATGCTACAGTAAACAGTGCGGCACAAACCTCTCTGCAGAAGTCCTTCAGATTAAAAAGCAAAGCATTCCTGACAATTTGTGACACAGAATACAACCCAGCAAACACTCAAAATATAAAGAACCTGATAGCACCATTCCATTAAGTATTTAGGTCCTCTGAATTCAAAATTGATGAGGCAAAACCAGATAGGAAAATAGAAAGACAAACAGAAAGAACTGAGCAAACAGAATAACCTTACCTTTCACAGGCTCGGACAGTCCACGCAGCAATTATCCATAGTGAGATACTAAAAACCAACAGTACAGTTCCTGGACATATTGTCATTAGAGTCTTCATAACAAAACGGGTATTGAAGTTTATCTTATTTAACGCTCCAATGCTTCTAGATGAGGCATCAGTGAAAAGTTTGCTATGCAAAAGCATAACTCTGGCAATAAGATATAGTCTTAAGAACATTGGTATAGATAAAATAATATCCACATCAGCTGTTGTTGTGGATGGAGTGTAAGAAAAGGCGAGCCGGGCTGTCCATGTGAATGTATAGTTCCCAGGTATGGGATGTATAGCACACACCAGTATTTCCAAGCAGATAAAGAAAATACGCTCATAAGTCATGGCTATTCTCCAGTCATCTGCTCCATTGTCCACCATGAACAACTGAAATAATAAAATATAAGGTTAACTTTAGTACGTCATTAACAAACCTTGTTATAAATCCATTTTAAAATACCATAGTTTTCAGAGCTGTCAATGACCACTAAAAAGAAAGTAAATACGCCATTTCAGAAAATTATATTACCACATCACTATGAAGTGAAACATAATTCTGGTTAAGATGAAAAGAATTTTTTTCATGCACTATTTTAAAAAATGTACATGAAATTTAATTTTCACATATTATTTACTAAGAATTCCTCGTATTTTCTTTAACTGTCATTGCTGATAAAACAAAACTCTGGACCAATTAAGCTTTGCCCCTTCAAAATCAATTGGTTACTCCAAGTTCACAAAATTGAGAGAAATTTAAGCATTTTCAGAATGGATATCTAAATTATAAATTGAAAATACCTTATAAGAGGCAATGTTAAGCCTAACTAAGAGCACATCCATGCTTCAGCCAAGGTGATATTATAGCTTCTGTAGAACTATCCAGGCTTTCTTTAAGCTTCAGAGATAAATACGGATGAATGTAGGATGCAAAACTACATGAGAAACTGCACAAACACTCAGAAAGATATCTCACAGTGAGAATCTGAAAAGTAAAGGCCGGCAAATACCAGAGTAACCCAGTAGCTAGGTCTTGTCTACTAGTAGCTGAAACTTCAATGCACACGTTGGTGCTTGCACAACCAAGGCCTGCAGTTTGCCACCCAGGGACAAAGGTACTGAAACATTTCACAGTGTAAATAGTGTTTCAGATAATCTACTAAATAAATATGTTTGTCACTAGTAGAGAGAATCAGTATGCAAGAAGCTGCAAATAGGCTACTTTTCAAAAACGAAAAAAAGCCATAGTGACAAAGAAGATACAATCTCAGTGACAGAAGATTGCATCACTTCAACAATAGTCCAAATCTAAACAATGCTGTCCAGTAACTAAGTGAAAAATACTAAGTGAAATAAAAATACTTTTGCGATGTTTCAAAATTATTCAAAAAATAATGGGTGAGAAAGAAAAGTACACAAAGAACGTGCTCCTTAATATAAGGAAATTATTTCCAGCATGCTGCACACCATATACATAGCACAAACCCCAACTACTCATCTGCACTGCTCTTTGCCCTTTTCCATCTTTCAAAATACAAGACTGATCTCTCTCTTTGTGATTTTTAGAGATCAAATCTCTACATCCTCCTCCACATACATTCAGTTTGTCTTTCAGAACAGTGCTTCAGTCATTTGCTTAGAAAAATTATAACCACAAATTAACTTTATTGTGGTTGAACTGATACTAAAAGAAATTAAGTTAAATGAGTTAACCATAGTAAGAAACAAATCAAAACAATTTTTTGTATTTGTGGCCCTATTTTATCCCTTTATGTTCTTTCCCTCCATCTTACTATACTGGGTGTCAGTAACAAGGTTTTGGTCATGGGGTGCTGCAGGAGTGGTGTGTGTGATAAGATGTCAGGGACTGCTCTGCAATAGACCCACTGCAGGACATAGCTGAGCTCAGCAGTGAAGCTGGTGGTGCTTCTGTGAAAGCATATTGAAGGAAAGGCAAAACGCTGCCCAGACAGTGAAGAGTGAGGGGGGAAAAGGGTGAGAAACAACCGTGGAAATGCTAAGGTCAGAGAAGAAGAAGGAGGAGGAGGTGTTCCAAGCACTGGAACAGAGATTTCCCTGCAGGCCCTGGAGAGGACCATGGTGAAGGATCTATTTCCCTGAAGCCGGTGGAGAGGACCACACCAGTCCGATACCTACGCTGCAGCCCATGGAGGATCTCACACCAGAGCATGGTGGATATTTTCTAAAGGAACTGCCACTCACGGAGGGCCCATGCTGGAGCAGATTCTCCTCACAAGAACTAATGCCCATGGAGGCCTTATGCTGAAACAGGTTTAGCCTGAAGGACTGCATAACATGGAGAAGACCCATACTGGAGAAGGGGAAAAGCATGAGGAGGAAGGAGCAGCACAGAGGAACTCTTGTGGACAGACTCCTGTTCCCCATATACCCTGTACTACTTATGGGGGAGAAGACAGAGGAGTTGGGAATGAAGGAGAGATGCTGAGCCTGGGAAGCGGGGGGCAGGACAAGGTGTTTTAGCTTTTGTCTTTATGTCTTACCATCCTACTCTACTTTTAACTGGCAATAAATTAAATTAATTCTCCCCAAGTTGATCCTCTTTTGCCAGTGCTGGTAATTGGTAAGGGATATTCCCATCTTTATCTCAACTCACAAAGTTATTAATCTTATTTTCTTCCCTTGTCCTGTTGAGGAGGGAGACTGAGAGAGCAGCTGGGTTGGGTCTGGCAGCTGCCCAAAGTCAAGCCACCACACTTACGTGTAGTTCTCACTTCTACAACAATACCATTAAAGACAAAGAAACACAGTGTTGAAATAAGCTAAAGAAACACTCAGTGAGTTCAATGCATGCAACATGAGCATACACACTCTCTTTTACCTGTGGTCATTCTGCACACTTTGCATGCTCGATATGTGAATTGATATTGAAAGGCAAATTTATGTATGTGTGTATGTATGTACACATGCATTACCAAAAGAGTGCTGGTTTGCACTTAGCAAACGTACTATATGGTGTGAAGGGCCAAACTTTCTAAGTACAGTAAAGCTCAAGTACATTTGACTGTTGTGATTAGCCTGTTGTGATTAACAATGCTGTCACTTGGATCACAGAAGTGCTACATCAGTTATGAAGAGGTCCAGGTATTTAGAACACCCAGAAAACAAATTAATAGTAACCAGCTTGAATGAAAAGAGATAGACAATATAAAAATTCTCAAATGCTGTGAGGGTTTCTGAAGAAGAGAATGAATTAACAAGAGAGTTAAATGTTTCAGTTCTCAGATACGTATCAAATACATGTCAAACTGGCAGTATTTTAAAGTTTCTTTTAAAGTTTCAAAATCTGCTGAAACAACAATGTTCTTTTTGTCCCCCCATTTTAACCTGCCATCTTCACAGATTTCAAAAAGAATTCTATATACAGAAAGGCAATTCAAGAAAAATACCTTAATTCTGATTCAATTTAAAAGATGAGAATAGAAGAATGTTGAGTTAAACTTAGGCACTAAAATTTGATCTTACAATTTTCAAAGAAAAAGTTATTTAAGCATTGAGTTTTGTAAAAACGGAACATACACTTGGTAACATATTCACTTGTCAGCAGAAGAAATCTTAACATGCTACAAAGAAGTTTCTCAGTAGAGCACAGTGGAAATGGGTTATGTTTGCAGACAGAGAAGATTCCTATCAACTTCCCTTGATCTCAGCTGTGCCCATTTCTTCTAAGTAAAATAATATTTTAAAGTGATAATATCTTCAGCTGTTATATGATGAGATTTGTGAGTTGAAAACATGGAAGGTAGAAAACACCAGAAGCCACAAAAGGCCACAAATCCAACATAAACACTTATATTACATAAAAATACTGACATTTCAAAATCATATTTATGAGGAAGATTTCCTTACAATTCTGTTTCTCTGAATTCAAACTATGATGGATAGCAAACACTCTGGAAAAAATAAGAGCCTCTAAAACTGTCTGTGAATGACAATTAAATTGGGACATACCTAAATGACTTAGATATTAGTACAGGACTTCATGTACGTTTTATTTACTTGCAATTATGCAACCTAATAAATGCAAATTTCACTTTTAATTTGGAAGATACAGAGGTATTTGTGCATGCCTGTGTGCTTAGCCAGTTATATTTCCTATTCAGAAAGTGAAGAAGGTAAATGAATGAAGAAGAGAAAGTACAGATGAAGAGCACAATTTAAAAGGTAAGTACACATCCTCTCAGTCACTTTAATTCAATCGTGTTACAATAACCATGCATTAATTTCAAGATACTACTCCCTATTTGAATGGAGAATGATGCTAGCAATAAAAAGAGAACATAATAAAAGAGTGAGCCAACTCTTCCTGTAGAATTGAGTCCTGTGTTCTACCAAGAAGGCCAAACCCCAGTCAATGTCACAGATGTTATGCCTGCTCATAGCCTTCAAATTTCTTATAATTATTCAGTGTTGAAATCTAATGCAAGTCCTTTACCAGTGTTCTGCAAGGTTCTTCAAATACTGAACATTCATATACCTTTACTAAGTCTGCACTCTGTAAGAAGTATTTTGAAGTTATTTTCACCTGAAATTACGTATTTTCCAGCATGTTGTATATGAATGTAAGACATAAATCAATCCCTGACTTCAAATAAACTTGGTATTTGTAATGCCACACAGTAAAGACATAGAAATAAATATCATATAATAGATATTTACAGATATGTGTATATTTACATAACACTTTATTAAATCCATATAACACCAGATCAGAAAAAAGGAAACATATTCAAAGTAAACAGATTGCACACAGTTTTATCAGAGACTCCCTGAAGATACTTTAAACAAAAGGAGAGAAGTTAATTTTGTAAATCATTAATATACCAAAACAGATTCATAGCAGGCTATCAGAGGATGTTGGTGAATGCAAAGAAGAAGGAAACTAGCCATTTTCTTAAGAAGTCCTTACAATCCAGGTAAAAGAGCAAATCTGAAAATGGTATTGCTACCTTACTGTAATACTGTGGTGGTATGTTAACACAGGAGTAAAAAGTAAGCAATAAACAGCAATAAATTAGCATCAGCTATATTCCTGAAAGCATTCGTCACAGAAGGGGTATCAACTGCACTCACAACCATATTGTTGCAGTTGTTTAATTTAAAAATACAAATTTAAAATGGTTAAATACTGGAGTCACTTAAATCTTACAAAAGAACTGATTGGACTACGATTCAGAGCAGCAAAATACAGCCTCTGGGGCTGCTGATTTACCCAAATTTTTGACTAGGCACTCTTCCATAGCTTTTTGTCCCCAAAATATAATTTATACAACCAAAAAGACCACTAGAGTACTCAGAGAGGAAAGAAGATACTCCTTTTGTCTCAGTACTCCAAACAGTCAAGCTATTGTCCCACCGCACCCCATTAAGTACAAATGATTTAAAACCATGTGGTGGTGGGAGACAGATGTCTTAAGCCTTTAACACAGTTACCCTTAAGTATGGGGTGAAAAAGACCTTCTTACATCACCACAAGGCATGGAATCAAATGGTCCATAAGTTATCTGAAGGCCAGTCTTTGACCTTGGAAAGCTTGCAGGAGTTCCTGAGGGCTGCTGTACTCCTCATCCTAAATACAACGCCACAGAGCAGACGTTACTGGGTTTAAGTTATACATAAATTCATGAGGCATCAGACATCTTCTGCATGCAATGCACAGAAGGCAAAAAAAATGTTTTTCACAAAACTACATGAGGACACTAGTCACCGAGGCGAAGAGCTCCAGAGCGGAGGACCACGCCGGGGGGATCCTGCT